TTGAAGCGATCGGTAAGGCATCCACTTGGGAATAGATGGATTGATATCTTTCCCGAATGTATTTATGCATAAGTAAATATAAAAAAAACTCGGCTGGAAATCGAAACCGGCTCTCTAATTTATTATTCCAAGCCGTTATCGATTACATAACACCTCACATCTATAAATAAATACAGTATAGCTGGCCACTCATATTCGAGAATACCCGTCTCCCAGGACTGCAAGCAAATCAGGTGCATTTCTGTTTATTCAATACCCACAGAGCCCACCTGTGATTTATACTGCAACTACCTGAGCAGAATGGATGTTTACAATTCAGGAAAGGGCGTGTTATCTAGTTGTGATCAACAATTTGAACAAAGCCCTAAAAACGATGATTTGTGATATTGAATGCCAGCAAAAACTATCGACGGCCCCCAAGGGTTGCGTCTACCCAATTTCACTCACAAGGGTTGGGTCAACCAGTGGCATGGTTTTCAGGCACTTTCCAAAGGTGCCACAGGCTGGGATCAACCCCTCCAGTCCAATAACATCAGGATGGGACAAATCAACCATGGTGAGATTCGAACCCGGATTACATTGGCACAACATTCTAAACACTCGGTTAAGTGCCCATTACAAATAAATATAATGTTTAATAAATAAATGGGGCGTCTATTCAAATACGGGTATCTATGAAAAATAATGTTTAAATGATAACATTTGTTGGATTAATAGATAAAAATCCATTAATTTTTTTAGAAATTGCTTTGTTTAGGTTTGGATATGAAACTGAGGTGATATGAATATTTCGAGAGTCTGAGAAAGATTTGCGTATATAAGGCACTATTCAACTTTGCTTGATCAGTGACGCCCTCCGTGGCCGAGAGGTATAAAGCTCTAGGAATCGTCAAAATGATTATCTACCCTGTCAACATATACGAAAAGCGGACATCTTAAGACTATTCGGTATATTATCTCTTTATGTGCCGTGTCCTTTCAGGACGTAGGCGATCATGGTCCCCCACAACTTCATTTCCCTTGTAGATTTTAATAAACTTTCTCTTTCTATTATATCTCATAAACCCTGACCCGCCATCCATTTACTCGAGCTTACTATCATGGCTCTCCACAACTTCCTGTCCCTTGTAGCTCTTAATAAATTTTGTATTTCCGCTATTTCTCTTAAACCGTGTTCCTCCATTCATTTATGTGCTCTTTTCCTCTGTCCCTCTTGCCCTTTATCAGTTCCGTGAGTATCAGATTTTCCAAGCCCTCTTTCCTCATTGTATTCCCCAGAAACCTCAACTACCTTTTCCTGACGTTCAATTTTAGTTTCCTTTTTGTTTCCATTTTCTGCAAAACTTCGTCGATACTCACATGCTCGGTCCACTGTATCCTCAGCATCCTTCTGTAGAAACACATTTCATTTGCTTCAAGTTTCCTCTTCATTATTGACTAGATCGTTCAGCAGTCACTGCCATACAGGAGGACAAATATCACATAGCAGTTTAGTACTCTTTTCCTTGATTCTAGCGAGATATTCCTATTTCTTAATACTCTGCTTAGATTTTGGTTATCCTAATACCCTTTCGTATCTCAGTGACACACTTTCCGTCCTCTGTTAAAACACTTCCCAGATATTTAAATTTCTGCACTTGTTTGATTTTGGTATCCCCGATTTGTAATTTGCATTTTGGGATCACCCCTTTTGCTAACAACCATGCATTCTGTCTTCTTGAAGTTGATCCTTAGTCCTTTCTTCTGGCTTTCCTTCGTTATCTTCTGTAGAAGTTTTTTTGTAACTTTCTTTCAATGTCTTCGTCCTGGGTATGACAATGGACTACATCCGACAAAAATGCCTCTAATCGGGAGGTTTTTGAGGAACGTGGATCCGCCTCTTCCTTGCTGTTGGTCCCAGGTCCACTCTGACCCGGGGTGGTAGCGTCTGTTGGGGTCTCGGCTATAGGCAAATAGTAAACCCCCAAACTGCGGTCAGGACATTGTAAAAATATAAAATATATATTTATTGTAAAAATTACCAGCAATACATTTTCATAGTAAAAAAAATAAATAACAAGCAATAAATAAATGAAAAATAGCCAAAGTACCAAAGAAAATTAGATTTCGGTGTTAAATGACCCATAACTATGTTGATATGCTGTATTCTTCCCCCCACTTGAACGAGATGTGATACAAGGTCTTTTTTAGGAGGGGACCCAGGCGCGTGCGCCCAGAACAAGGACAAAAATTCCCCTCACCCCCCGCAACTCTCGGTTGCACTGGCCTCGGTGCGAGCAGCGACCCCTCCCTCTTGTGTAATAGGAGGGCGCGGCCTCGGGCAGCTGTTCTCCAGGGCTTGGCACCTCTTCAATATAACTTTCTCAGTTGCCCCTCTGTCCTTTAACAGAGAAGCCCCTGAGCGCACTCTGTCCAAAGACAGAGACGCAACTGAGAGATGATAAGCCTGCGTTGAAAATCCCTCCAAGGAGGAATTTATACGCTAATGTTGATATACGGTGTTTACTCATTCCCCACAAGGTCGGATTAATGTGGGGGCCCGAGCGCGTACATTTGGGCAGGGATAATAATTCTCCTCAGCCCCTGCAACCGTTGGTTGCACTGGCCTCGGTACGAGCACCGATCCCTCCCTCTTGTGCAATGGGAGGGCGCGGCCTCGGACAGCTGTTCCCCTGCAATCTTAACCTGTCTAAAGTTTTCCGATATCCATATACACATACATATCGAGCGTTTTACAGAGTGAACGTCACTATAAAAATCGCCACAGAGCAAACCCAGTCTTCAGTTTCGATTTCCCACTTGTGTCCAGTAATTTTGTATTTCGATTAATTCATATCAGTCAGTTATGTCCCATAAATGATACACTCTTAGGCGATCATGTATCTTTCGATACATGATTGACGAGTTACTAGGTTGCCATTTCTTTCTGCAGTAGACCAGTTGCCACCCAAGGCTATAGAACCAGCTGTGTCCTGCTTTTAACCCATAAGAATTCATACATTTATCCAGGTTATTAGCACGTAAGTGAATGGATTCGACTGGAATTCGAACTCGGCTCTCCGATTCCGTAAGCCGAGCCACTATCCATTACTCCATCAATTTCATTCTTTTTATTCGATTTTATGCTATTGTTTTGTTATCGAAGAAAAATAATATGAAGTTGAGTTATTTTGTAGGCTAATATTTTTTTCACACATCCAAATTTATCAGAGGAGCGTTTCGGTTAGCAAAGTCGATTTTACTGTTTTTAAACTACAATTCTCCATGATTTTCTCTCGTACATTCATATCTGCTCGAAGCGTATCCAAATGTAATCAAATGACGTCACACATAAAATATGTCTTAAAATAATTGTCGGACTTTGTCCATTTCATAATGTGTGACGTAATTTGTTTACATTTGATACGCATCGAGTAGATATGAATATACGAGAGAAAACCATGGAAAATTGTAGTTTAAAAACAGTAAAATCAAAACGCTCCTCTGTGGCTCAATCGGTAAAAGCACGTCAGGCTATATGACGGTTCCGTATAGATACAGGTTCGATTCCTCTCGGAGGAATCATATTTTCTATGAAAATTTCTCGGATATTCAGGCCGGTAAATATCGTTAATACTGTTTATTATAAACAGCATTTACTTAAATATTTGTATCTATAAAAAAAAAAAAAAACGTATAAACAGTAAAGTAATTGTCGGACATTGTTCATTTCATAATGTGTGACGTCATATATATATATATATATATATATATATATATATATATATATATATATATGAAGAAAAATATGCACTCTCCAGCAGGATTGGAACCAGCATGCTCCCACTAAATAAGATTCCTTGAATATTCAGGTCAATAGATGAAAATAAATATACTGTTTAAATAAATGAATAGAAAGTTATTACAGTATCTAGACTCCGTAATTACAGAACTAAAGGAGTTATATATATATATATACACACACACACACACACACACACACACACACACATATATATATATATATATATATATATATATATATATATATTCCTATGTAATAAATTATATATTTTCCGATTTCTTTTGGAATTTGTCTTATATATTGGATCGTTATAACGATTCCAATATAATAAATTATAACCATGGAATATTAGTTTTTGAGCCTTTTATATTATATATATATGGATGGGTGTATCTATCTATCTATCTATCTATCTATCTATATATATATATATATATATATATATATATATATATACCGTTTCGCAAAAGTAACTGAACCCCCTAAGATAATATTTTTTCCAAAATTGTCTCTTTTTTCCCTATAATCATCAAACCTTAATTAACTTCCCTAACTAGGGTCTTCCTAAAACCTCCTCCTAAAGATGCTATCAAAAAAGCTAAGCAAAATATTAAGAAAATTCAAAATTCCTCCTACATGGCCGTAAATTTCCTCACAGATGAAGAAGAAACTTCACACGACACATGACTATTATCCTCATCATCATTGCCATATTCACAACGTTTCGGCTGTTGTACGCTCCGGCAGTTGTACGCTCTGGCCTTCTTCAGGTGATTGGAACTTCGAAACGAACCCTTTTATTTCATCCACCGGCCCACTGGATAAAACGTTGGTTAGATCCAGTGACTAGACCCAAAGAGTTGTGAGCTCAGTACCAGACCATAGCAGTGGTGGAAATAAGGAAATGGAAATAACTGAGACATCCGGGAGAGGCGTGGTACGTGGAACTAGAACAACCTATTCCTGTGGACGAAATAAAGGGTTCAGTTCGAAATTCCAATCACCTGAAGAAGACCTGAGCGTACAACGGCCGAAATATTTTCGAATGTATCTAAATAAATAACAGGAACACCTGACCAGATGTGGCAACAATATTCAAAGCAAGGACGAATGCGACACTTATAAATATGCAAGATAGATTAGGGAGAGGTTTTCTCGATTCCTGACCACAGACAATACCATGAGCTGTAAATGGTTAGAAAATATAATAAAGTACAGAAAGTTTTGAGAGAGGGAGTAAATGATTTTTTTTGGAAGAAGGTTGACAAGGGAGTTGGTGTTGCTGCTCGACACTGACAGATGAACTTCCGAGACTTTGGGCCTCGTGTACGCGATTCCTGCTTGTGGCTTTCACACGCCATTGAGCTCGGGATGCTCCATCTGACGACCAATGGCAGGCGTTAGATGAAGGCATGCGTGAATGTCAAAATGGAATTTCAAGTGGCTTTTTTTTCCGAGAAACAGTGCCGGGAAGGTATCCACCAGAGAATGCCAGGTGCATTTGTGTGTGTCTATATATATATATATATATATATATATATATAAATTGTTGGAAACTCCTTGGGCTTCACGTTATTACACTCTAGTGTTTATCATAATTTCCCCCCTCACACTCCGTTATATTTTTTTTCTCCCCCGTTTTTTGTGCATATTTGCACAGTTTAAAAAAGATATATATATATATATAATATTTACTTATTTAAATTTTTTTTTTCCCTTCATACCATTAATCTTTTCATTTTTAAAGTTTTAATTGTATGTAGGGTTTGTGTGTGAGTCAATATATATTGCAATAATTGTGAAATTGTTCCCAGTCGACCCTGATGAGCTTGGGAACGAAACCGGTTGGTCTGCTTTGTGAGTGTTATCATTTCTTATTTTTTATTTTGTTTCCATAATGCCTTTAAGAAATAATTCATATTTATTCCTTGCAATATATATATATATATATATATATATATATATATATATATATATATATATATATATATATATATATATATATATATATATATATATATATATATATATATACCGGGTGTAACAACATAATCGTCCAGCCGATAAAATGTTTAATATCTAAAAGCCAGTTTCTATTTTTCTTGATAATATCCAAATAAGAATACACACATACTGACAGATATGCCTTGTTAATTTTGACGAATTCAAACCAAAACTTCTCTTTTTTTAATCTTCTGAGAAAGAACCTGGTTTTACTTTCCATTAGTATGGCTGATGCTAACCCCCAGCAGATTAACTCATTGCACGTTTACGGGCAAACATTTTCTGCTGACATGGCGGACACATTATATTGATCAAGGAGCCTAGATTTCAAAACTGTTAGCATAGAACTACCTGTTAAATCTTGAGATTTAAACTATAAAATGATGAGAACTGGCTTACAATCAAATATATATATATATATATATATATATATATATATATATATATTACGAAATGGACAAAGTCCGACAATTATTTTTAAGACATTATTTATGTGTATACTTACTTTTTATAGATACAAATATTTAAGTAAATGCTTTGTTATAATAAACAGTATTAACAACATTTTGAGAGCTGAATGTCCGAGAAATTTTCATAGAAAATATACGTCCTCCGACAGCAATCGAACCTGTATCCTATACAGAACCGTCATATAGCCTGACGTGCTTTTACCGATTGAGACACAGAGGAGCGTTTTGGTTAGCAAGGTCGATTTTACTGTTTTTAAAAAGAACGTATAAGCATATAAAATGTCTTAAAAATAATTGTCGGACGTTGTCCATTTCATAATGTGTGATGTTATTTGTTTACATTTGGATACGCATTGAGCAGGTATGAATGTACGAGCGAAAATTATGGAGAATTGTAGTTCAAACATATATATATATATATATATATATATATATATATATATATATATATATATATATATATAGTTAAACCTAGAGAAAGCCAGACAAACCTACCGAGTTTTCATAGATAGTTTGTCTGGCTCTCTAGGTTTAACTAGGTTTGCTCTACTCATTGTATTGAGCACTTTATTTAGTTATTTTGGGTACACGCATCGGTTTTTTTTTCTTTGGGCCTTGAATTCGTATGTTGGACGATTATTTTTGGTTAACGTACATGTTCTTGGTTCTTTCTTCTTTTATACCTTTGTTCCCTTGGATATTGGCTTGTTTATTTGCAAATCAACACAACGAAGGTTTTCCGAGCGAGTATAGTTTCTTATACTTAAAAGATTTCTATTAAGAATATATATATATATATATATATATATATTTATGCCTTGATTCCTTGGGAAACATAGAGCAAAGTAGACTTATGAATGCGTAAGATTTGGGCGAGAAAAATTCTCTGGCACGACACAGTAATCCAAGTTACTCAGCATCTAATTATTGATTCAATATGTATAGCTGGCCACTGGTATACAAGGATACCCGTCTACTCGGGCGGCTACCCAATCCCTACTGCAGACGCTTGCTCAGGTGCATTTATGTTTATTAAACACCCACAGAGCCAGCTTGTGGTTTATACTGCAACTATGCTGAGCAGACCTTAGTTACAATTTCTGCGAAAGGGTGTGTTATCTAGCGTGAACAACAATTTGAACAAGGCCAGCTCGCCCAAGCCCTCGGCCACGATGACTTGTGATTTCTTGCTAGCACAACAATCAACGGTTCCCAAGGGTTCCGTCTACCAAAATTCACTCACTAGGCTTGGGTCTACCCTTGGTATGGTTTTCAAGCACTTTCCAATGGTGCCACCCGCTAGGATCGATCTCACCAGTTCGATAATATCAGGAAATTCCCTACCTGACATATCGACCATGGTGAGATTTGAACACGGGTCTCATTGTCAGAAAGCCAACCTTCTAACCACTCGTGCATATAATTGATTCAATATAGTTTGTCCACTCCATATCAGCGGAAAATGTTAACCCGAGAAGGTGCAATTAGTCAATTCCCTGATGGTCAGTATCAGCCGTTTTGTTTTGGGGCGCTAAAAATAACAAGGCATGTATGTCAGTAAATGTCAGTGTGTATGTGTATATGTGTCTACGTGTGTGAGAGTGTGTTAGGGATTATGTGCGAGAGTGTGACTATTAGAATTTGTGCATGCTTGTAAGCTGGTGTGATTGTGATTGTGAGTGTATGTAGGCGTATGTTGACATGAGTGTGTTAGTGTATGTGTGCGTGAGAATGTGTGTATCTGCATATGTGCGAGTATGTGTGCAAGAGACTGTGTATATATTTGAGTGCATGTGTATCATATGTGTGTGCGTGCTTGTGCCAGTACGTATCTATGTGGGTGTGAAAGCATGTGATTATCTCTTTGTGTGTGATAGTGTGTGTGTGTGAAAGAGAGAGAGAGAGAGAGAGAGAAAGAGAGAAAGAGAAAGAGAGATAGATAGAGAGAGAGAGAGAACGCGCCCCCGTGTTGCAAGTGTAAAGTTTTCTTACCCTTGCTTTCACCTCCCCCCCCCGGTTTCTTTTATGGATCGCCTCATCGTACGTGACTCTCAAGGAGGTGACTATGACAGGACGTGAGACATTCCCACCCACGCACCGCTTGACAGATTTCGAATCCTATTTTGGCGGTTTTACTTGAACATCAGTCATTTCAATCCGATTAGTTTCAAACAAAGGGTTTTCGGTAGTTTTACTTGAAATTATTTATATTTATCGATCCGCTGAGGCTGTTTCGACCTTTCTTTATTCACTCATAACATTTTTATCTATCTATCTATCTATCTATCTATCTATCTATCTATCTATCAACGACTGCTCATCTATTTATCTATCTATGACAGCAGAAAAAAATTCGCTCCCTTCTTATATCTAAGTCTATCCGTATCTATCTATCTATCTATCTATAGTGGAACACACCTATTCTATAGTTAATAGACACTCCCACCTATAATGAGTAGGTGTAGTGAGAGTAACAAGTGGGTGGCACAGTGGGTCAGTCAGTCGACCGTTAGTTGAATACTAAAGTATCAGCGACCACAACTAGATTTCTCTGCGTCATTACCTATTATATCAAGTTCCTAACGTTTTGTACGTCGAACCTATTTTAGGACCGACTTACAAATACAAGCCTCCACTGTGAAATCACTCCACAACACTATCTATCTATCTATCTATTGTGTAGTTACCCCACTTACTCTCCTAAAATAAAGCTGCTAAGGGACGTTCCCTAAGTGTATAAAAAAGCAGTGACTCTCTTTCCGTTTTTTTTTCTCCAACATTCAGACGTAGGTTGCACGTAGATAAAGAACACTGCTGAGACTGATGTTCATTCGCTTCCCTTGGTCCTCTATTGACTATTGAACTCTGTCTCACACACACGCATATACACACGCTTGATACACTTACTTCCACACATACAACTACACGAGGTTAAATGTTTTCTTTCATATTCACCATTTTGTAACACACAAAAATTTCCTAGTGTCTATATATACCTCTGTTTTGCTTATCCATAATTATCGTTTGTTTACACACACACACACATATATACATATATATATATATATATATAGTTTTCTTTTTAATTTTTTCATTTATCACCGGGACTCGCATTCGAGTCCGCCATTTTTGTTCTGGGATAAATATACCAGGAGACACATGTTTTCCCGCCTAAAACACCACCAGCATACGGAGACAACACTATCTGTCTCGGTCCGTTCGTATTTGTCTCATTCTGTCTCTGTCTATCGATTACATTCTATTTATTCAAACATGGCCATTAGACGGTTTGTTTATTAACAAGAAAAATTTATTTTATTTATACTTAATTTATTATTGTTTATTTGGTATTCATTAATATTATTCATTATCTTTAAAGAAGCGCATACAGATATATATGTTGTTAAATCTTACTGTATCTAAGCGGTAGCTTTCTCAATGTTGGCGAGCCTCTACGAATATAATAAAAATCTATATAGGTTGCACAAGCCATGCGTTCAAAAAGCGGTTCAATCAACATCAAACTTCATTTACGATAGATAAGTACAGAAATCAAACATCGCTCTCCAAGTATTTCTGGCAATTAAAAGAATCCAATAAAACACCTACAGTAAAATGGAAATTAATAAGAAAAGCAAGAATATGTAAGTCATTAAATGGCCCATGTTCTTTGCGCATACATGAAAAACTATATATCACTAAGTTTATAAAAAATAAAAAATTACTGAATCAGAGAAATGAAATAGCTATTTTTTGCCGTCATTGTCAAACATTTTCCATAAATGATATTTAAAAATATATTTAAATATAAATTAAAAAATTAAAAAATAAAATTAAAAAATGGGAGCTGGTAATATACATACTTATATTTGATAATAATTTTAAATAATGTAAGTAATTCTATTACATTTACTTGTTTTTAAAAAGTTATATAGTCTAT